AACAGTGGGAATGAAATTATTAGACCTCCCATTTTGCATCCAGGGACAAAGATAAAGCGGCGGTTCTTGGCCGTCTCACACTGCACCCTGTCACGGCGCTATGCGGTGGCTGTACTCCCCGTGCCAGAGAAGCACTGCAACCTGCACAAGAACCAAACCTGCACCGAGGTGGGTCCCCCTTAACCACTGCCGGTACCTGCAAACGCCCAATTGAGCCTGGAGTTTTCAAGCCAGGTGACGTCGTCATACAATCCAGGAATTCACTGCAGACATTTCTACTAGAGCGTAATTCAGAGGAGAACGCCATTTGATAACAACACTGCTTGGCAGGGCATTTCATGCCCTACCCATGGCTGTTTGGCACGTTGTCCATCTCACTAGCATGCTCCACCACTTGCAAGAGAAGTGTTTTCGCCTGTCAGTTTAATCTCAGGGATCCAGAGAAAATGAACCCACCGGAAGATGAACTATAGCAATGTTTCCATCCGACTTGCCAAGTCTCATGCTAGGCCCAGGCTGCTTCCCATCACCTTGGTTTGCGGTTTGTTTGATGCAATAAAAAGAAACATGTCTCCATTTAGTCCCGAGTCGTTATTTTGCAGCACATAATGTGGGAAGACAGAGAAATGTTATAAAAAAGCTGCAAATAGAAAGAGGAGTCAGTATTGAGGCTAAATGCTGCCAGGGGACTCCAAAAAGCTGCATCCCTACTCAAAAGGTTCCCTTTGTAACACTGTAAAATAAAACTACTTACAGACTCTCTGCCTCAGTTCCCCATCTTGCTTTATTTGTCGGGATGGTAAGCAATTTGGAGTCTGGATTAGCTCACCCATAACCAGCAAGATGTGGAGTCAAACTTGACTGGGTTTTAGTGGCACTGTAACATAAAACAAAAAAGTGAAGCAGCGCTATTCTAATTAAGTGGTAAGGCTCCAGGGGAACAGAACTAGAAGGAAGGATGGGGAGCCATTTTAAAAGCTTGCTCACCCGTCGACTTTTCACTTCTGGACATTTTTAAAAAATGTTTAAAAGAAACTAAGCCCATCCATCCATTTAAACACTCATGACTTGGATAACTCAAGTATGAAAGTGGCTTTGTACCTCAAGGGTTGGAAGACAGCAAGTACCCTCCTGAGCTATTCTAAACTTCTATGCACAATGAGCTGTCACTTCTAAACTTTCCGTCTGCGACAACTCCTTTGATATGAAGCTAGACCTTCGGCAAATTATTTACTATTTTGTACAGCAGGAAATGTTACAACGGAGTTTAGAGAGTGATGTCTTGGGATTGGCATTCGGGCTTGTGTAGATCCTGCCTGCCATTTGAAGAAAGAAATAAATGGTGTAGGAAATGCATTTGGCTGCAAAGTGCCTTGGATCAATACACCAATGTTATGCATTTTTTCCCCTGGGATGCATTTACAGAGCATGACAGTGAAGTACATACAGCTGTATAACTTATCATTTTATATCAAGTGTACAAGCTAAAATTAATGAACTCCGAAATGTAAAATCAGCACAGTATACTTTTGCCTTTCACTCCTTTGCTGTTGCACTTTTCTTCTTCTGCGTCATACAACTTTCAAATGACTCCTGTATAGATTTCAAACTTTTTGGGCAAACCCGTTTTAATTTTATAACCATACTGGGTACATCTCAACAAGACCCCTTTAAGCTCTGCCATGACACAAAGACTACATGATGATAATTATGGTCTGGTGTCAAGACATACAAGCCACCCCCCATGACTGTCAGCTTCAGAGGAAGTAAGTGTAATCATTTCTCAAAAATCTCAAAGACGCGACTGGAAAAAGCTGCTCTCCCAAACACGTTTGCTAGGGCCGGCCTCAGTGCGATCTGAAGAATTGGGATAATCAGCTGATGACGATATGGTAGTGCAGGACTGGACAAGGAACATTCCCAGGGTGTAAGGCAGGGACGGGCAAAGTTCGGCCAGCAGCGGACTCCATTTCCCGGCAGTCCCTGCCCACGTGGCTGGGGCCGGGTGCCATGGAGACCCCAGCTGCAGCTGTACCCTGACAACGCAAGGCTGGGGTTGCCATGGAGACCGGCCCCAGCCATCGTAGCAGGGTATGTATGTGGCAGGGCAGGGAGTTGCTCCAGAGCTGCTGGGATCTTGCGGCAGAGGCAGCTTGCTCAAGGTCACAGCAGAGCCACGATCTGCAGCCTGCACACTCTGGGCAGGGGTGCGCAAGCAGTGGATCGCAGCTCTGCCGCGGCTCGGGACCACGCCGTCACCACTGTAAGCAGCCGGGGCAGAGCTGCTATCAGTTGCCTGCACACCCCTGCCTGGAGCATGCAGGCGGCAGCTCGCGGCTCTGTCCTAGCCCCGACCAAGCTGCCCCCGCCGCAAGACTCCGCAGCTCCAGAGCAGCCCCCTGCCAGAGCGGCTGGGCCCAGTAGCCATGGCAACCCCAGCCCTGAGTTATCATAGCGAGGCTGCGGCCAGGGTCTCCACGGAGACCGGTTCCAGTAATGCTGGCAGGGGCTGCTGGGAAATGGAGTCTGGGTGCAAGCTGGATCTGCCCACCCCTGGTGTAAGGACTGAAAGCATGCATCAGAAGGGCTCACGAGAACGCCACTACGTCTGAAGAATATTGGCCAGTGTTTGCATGTCACTCCCTAGCTCCACCTGACTTACTAAGTCTCACATTAGGCACAAGATGGATCAGGGGGCAGCAACATTTACTCAAAACTGGTGTACGAGGAGGAGCAGGTTTCATCCTCAGTGATACGTTCCTGTTAGTAGGAAGCTGGTGTCCAGATGCTTGAAAGAAACCTAAGCAAGCTGGCTGCAAGGTCAGAGAGAAAATTATGCTCGCCTGCTCACCACTGTGCAAAAGCTTTTGAGAGTTAAAGCAGGCCAACCGGAAGGAACGGTACACAATGCTTTCAAATTATAACCACATGGAGAGAAAATGTTCAGGTTGGAAGTGATGCTTTCTCTGTTTCTGCTGCAGGACAGTATTAGGGAGAGATCTCACTCAAGTACTGTTTGCAAGACATTTGCTACAGGAACAAAAGGGGTTTTGTTTCAGAAATAATTAGCTCTTCTTTCCCAGGGATGTTTACAGACTGCAGGAAATCCTGGACCCTCCAGGGCCTGAACATGAGACCAGGATCACCTGGGGCTTCAGATCAGCGAGTGCTGCCAACTACTGCATCAAACGCTCAATTTCCATGTTCATAATGGGCATTGATTTTAATAGAGAGCACTTCTGCAACCTGCTCTTTCGGAGCGAAACCTCTGACAAGCACTTTGTTCAGAATAAATTCCTCTTGCTCCCGCACAATCCTCGTTGGGTGCATCCTAATAAACATGCAGCCTCAAAGCAGGGCACAGAGTTAAGAAAGCTACCTGTTTTCACCTTCATTTCTAACCTACAACTAGGATTCCCTCTTAATTAGGTTGCAAAGGATGGGTCAAGAAAGGGATGTAAAAACAGAAATGGAGGGGCCCAGACAGACATCGGGGGTATACGGTGCACTGACTGAGGATTAGCAAGATTATAACGAGTTCAGTGCTTGCTGCTGGCCCTAGATCTGAACCAACTGGCTGTGGAAAAATATTCACCCTACAACCTGCAGTCTAGGACCCTTGGACCACTGCCCAGGTGAGGGCTGTGTTGTGTTATCGAGGGATTTTACCAAAGGCTTGTGCGGAGGAAAATCATAGAAAATGAGGGCTGAAGGGACATCAGGAGGTGACATCTAGTCCAACTCCCTGCTCAAAGCAGGACCAGCCCCAACTCCATCATCCCAGCCAAGGCTTTGTCTCCCTGGGTCTCCAAGGATGGAGCTTCAACAACCCCTCTGGGCAACCTGTTCCAGTGGTTTAGTACCCTTTGAGTGAGAAAATTCTTCCTAATATCTAATCTCAACTTCCCTTGATGCAACTTGTTTTGTCAAAATAAGGTTCCTTATGCACTCTATACACAAGTACAGAAGAGGGGCAGGATTTCACCCTTGGTCACAAAGGTGCGTGTGGAAGGAGTCTATCCTTTGTAATTGGATGCGTAATTCTGAGTCCATCTCTGAGTTTGGTCCAATTTTGTGGTGCAGGGCCCCACATTAGACAACTTAATCGCCAAAACTATGCAAAGACTTCCCTTCACCACCAAGCCTCTCTTCCCAAAATATAATGGTGCGAGCCTGAGCTTTAACACACTGAGGAGTCAAGAGGACAGGTTCCACAAGAAAAACCTGCTTTTCATGAACACCGGTACCCATAAGTGATTCCCTGAGTGCCTGAAGTGCAAGCATGCAGCACACTATGTGGAAGATGTCACCAAGCCTCACAATAGTTTTTTCTAGCTTTCCAACTTTCTGTCCCAGCAGATTTTAATGTCAGATACTCTTTGGCATTGGTAACTATAGGAGAGTTTGGAAGTTTTAAGATCCTACATATATCAACTCTTTTACTCTTCATTATTCCTTAATTTGCCTTGATGGTGGAGGCGTGCTCTTATTCTTGCCCTCTCCCTTTTGTGCCCACAGTCAACCTGCTCCCTGTCTCCTTGAGTACCTAGGTTGCCAGATGGATGAAGAAAATGAATGGGACCAGATGCAAAAAAATAAAAGCTGGAGTTTTCTGTTTTTGGGTGTACAACTGCATCCCG